GAAATGATGAGCAAAATGGAATGTTTTTATTCAAGAATAATAGTTTTCCCACAGTTTTTAGTTTAAATCTGGTTGGAAGTTATGTTTCCAACCAATCTTTTGGTTAACACAACCATTCTAATTTGGCAGATTTTTAAAGGCAAACCAATACAAATTAGTCACTTTGGCCAAGACATTGTTAAATAGAATAGCAAGTTTTAAAGGTCATGGCTGGGTCTTACAGCGGACACCACTTTTAGCACATCTTTTCTTTTTAAAGCAAGACTGCTGAACACTAATAATACAGCTGAAACCAGGGGCTTGGTCAAGTTCTGGTCGTTATATTGTTTAATCTAACCAAAATAGTTTTAACCAACTAGATTGGTTGGAAAAACAGCCAATCTATTCTTATGCTACATTCAGACCACAAGCAGCAAAGGCAGAAGAAGCAGCTAGTTTACATGCAAAGTCAATGGTTGACGCGCATCAAGGCGCAGCAAAAGGTCCTGCAGCGCGTTGAGAAGCTGATCTGGGAGCCGGCAGGGAGACGGACACAGCGCTGCTGATGCAGATCACTATGATCACGCCTCTAAAACTGTTAATTAATGCCTGAATTAACTTTACGTACATGGAAAATGCCTTCCAGCTACAGCGAACAGTAGTGTAAAACGCGAAGAGGTGATCGGGCCAGAGGCAGCTGCTGCTGGGGATTCCCAGTGACAGGGCATCGCCGGTATGTGGGGGTCTGCCATAGAGAAATAATATATGCAGGGTGGATGTTAATCTGGATGAACTGACTGCACAGATGAAGTTTTCAGGTGGACTTTCTCACTTAAAATACAGGCGAGTGGCAGCCTAGTGGTTAGGGCATAGGGCTTTGAATCCTGAGGTTGTGAGTTAAATCTGCCACTCCCACAGACTGCCACTCTGGGTCACTGACCAAGACCCTTAACCCCACACTGCTCCCTGGGCGCCACACAATGGCAGCCCACTGCTCCCCAAGGGAATGGGTTAAATGCAGAGAAGTAATTTTCCTTCTGGGATTATTAAAGTATAAAAAACAAAACAAATACTAGTATCGGGCGGGGCACCGATCCAGTAACCTGACTCCACCAGATGGATTTGCTGGATTAGCTCCGCATATCTATCTGGAAACCTTCCGTTGAAGTAATTTTGGGAAGGGGCGAAGATACTGGTTAGCTGATTGGCCTATGTTGGTGATAGACGGGCCAAATAAACCAATCAGATCAACGAAGCATATGACGTACTAACAGAGCGACGACGAAGAGGAGCCAATTGATAGATCAAACTCTTGCTGAAACCAGTCGGGAGAAGAACGGTTTGGAGCCGAGAACTGAACGGTCGCGCTTCTCGTTGCGTCACACCTCAACCCGCCTCAAAGCCAACGCTGATTGGACGTTCGTTTGGTGAACGGCTCCAAATTTTCTTCAACGGAGAGTCTCCAGACTGATCTGCGAGTGAAACCTTGAAAGCTCGCGAGATCAGGATGGTCTCACCAGGCTACCGATCCAGCACTAAAATGGTGGTATCGGTATCGGCGAGTGCCAACCAATAGGGCACCGATACCATTTTAAGAGCCAAAAGTTTCTTCAACTATTGTCTCCCATTCCAGGTAGGCAATAAAAAGTTCCACTGGATTCACTTTGTTTTAGTCTTTTTCCTGCTTCACAAAGGCAGGCAGCAGCTTGACATGAAGCCATGATGGCAATTATTTTACATCCAAGTAGTTTGCAGTTCTTTATATAAACACACACATCAATTTCAAACAGATGGTATCGGTATGGGCCAATACTGCACAGTCGGCACAATACTACTTTTTACCCACTGATCAAAGCAAATATAGCTGCCAATGTTCCAGGCAAAGAAAGCCCATCGCGCATCAGACTGAATCTTCCACTGTGTAGTTAGAGCAGCAAAGATGCTTCAGCCGCGCATCAGAACTAAACTGGTACAAGCATTGAAAAAGAAGCAGCACGTGCGTTTTTGCTGCCTCTGCAGCTTGTGGTCTGAACATAGCATTAGAATCTATCCAAACTCTATCCAACTCATCACATCTTGACTGAACACCGAGGCCGTTTAAATGCCTGTCGAAATTTGCGGCTGATCTAAACCACTTCCTGCAGCGGTGATGTGGTATGGAGGTATGGAGGCTTCACGGAAACGCCCCCTCCACTACTCGACACGCCTCGAAGCCTTGGCTCATCTCATGACATCACTGCTGCAAAGAAACTCTGAAGCACTTATAGCATTAGTCTGATGTGCATGGTGTTCCTGAATTTCTGATGATTTTGGGCTTTTAAATTTTTAACCAACAACAGGGGAGTAATTCTGTAACATACAACTCTTAAAGCTACACAGGGTCTAAATTACGGTCTCAGTATATATAAAACCTTTGGGACGCTCATTTCAAGTAGTTGAATGTTCTCCTCTTACATGATCCAACCGTCTAAATTTTGATTCGAATAGTTTTCCTTCTTAATTTTTCCCAGTAAACATATTATAAGGAAACGGACCCACAGCATGATCCTGCCACCACCATGCAAATGGAGGCAAGAGTTCCTGAAGGGAACCTCCAAATGCACAGGGAGAACAAGCAATAATCAGGCTAAGATTCAAACCAACGACTGTGTTGCTAAAAGGCAGCAGAAACACCAGACCAGGAGAAACTATTTCATCATTACGATCAGAAACTAACAGCTATTTCCTGTCAACCTCGAGTTTGTCAGGGTAAGATTACATCGTGTGAATTAAAGGCAATATACCATACTTTTAACCTGTTTTATAATTATTATTAATTATTCCATTCTGCTAAAAGCTAATATTAAATTTTATATTTTTTATGTTCATGATTGTTTAATTTTTACACCTGACTGTAGATAATCTAAATTAAGAGCAGCTGCAGCGACTCTGTGAAGAATCTATCTTATTAAAACAAACCGAAATAAGCTGCAAATCAGGATGACTAGAAGTTAGAACTTCCTCTAAATGAAGCAAAGATTGAAACAAGATACTGAACAACTTTTTTTTGTCTTGTTTCCTGTTTCCTTCTAACATGTGGTTAGCTTTTACACCACAACGATCAGGTGTTTCTGTAGAAAACTTTCACAGGTATATTCTCAGCCCCCCAGGGACGGCTGCTGGTCGAGGTAACTGGAGCTTCTCTTTATTCCCAGTTAACCAAACAACGGTAGCTTTGTCCTCCAGCAGCTGCAGCCTGTTACTCATTCCTCAGTTACTGTGTTAGTATGCTGCCTGTCGGGCTCATCTATAACGGAATATTGGGACAATATAAACAAAATAAAACAAAAACAGCATATTTGGGGTAAAAATTCATTATTTTAGTTGCTAATATAGAGAAATATGGATCCACGTTTGCCTAACGTGTGAAAGAGTCTGATTTCAGCTCAGATGAGCTTCCACTATTTTCCTAAGAAAATAAACACGGTTATATTTTAGGACAAACTTGCTCACCTATAAGCACAGGTTGGCCTCAGCACTGCCCCCTGTGGAAACTATCTGAACTCCTACAAATCCAACAGGTGTCTCACCTTGAGGCTCATCTGAAGACAGATTTGGAGACCATCTGCCTTTAAGGCGGGGCATTTAAAGTCGTAGGGAAATCATATTTAAATGTCAAATCATTCTGCCTTAAATATGTATATAAATCTACTCTTTATCAGACGATATTGTCCCAAAAGTTGGAAAATTTCTATTAAAATCTGTTTTTTCCCCCCATTATCTTAAATTCAGCCAATCATATATCAACGGTCATCTGTCAATCAAATGTTTTCAGTCATAGCATCTTGATTCATCTGTCGCAGCTAATATACGCAACGGTTGAAATCAGAATCCTTTCCTTTCCCATTGAGTTGCGTCCCAGTGTTCACGGGGATGGACGTCTGTGTCTTCGGCAGGCGTAGAGCTAACAGAACTGGCAGCGTTGCGAGGCAAGGGCTCAAACATGTACGGCTGGAAGCCTTCTACACCAAACCAAGCTTCTGCCGCCCTGGCGTCCTCTTCCACAACATCTTCGTCCCCGCTTTCCTCCTCTAAATAAAAAATGGATGACGGAGGAGACTCATCCACGACCTCCGACACTAAACTCTCCTCCTCTTGCATGTTTCCGCTGTCCACCACCCTGGAGAGAAATATCAGCTGTGCTGCTGCCATCAACACCTTTGTTTCTAGATGTTGGAGCTTGGCCTGTTTTCCAGTGTAGTCCTGTTTCTCTGACTGTGACTAACTGGATGTGCTCTCTTCATCCTCTGACATGGGAGCTGGCTCGGAGCTCGTCTGCCTGGCTGTGTGTTTCCTGGACGGGTTCACCTTTTACAGTTGCTTTTTGTATCTATGCTTCTTTTTCTATGTCTGCTTCTGTCTCCTTGAACCCCAGTGGGCCTCAGCAGATGGCCGCTCACACTGAGCCTGGTTCTGCTGGAGGTTTCTTCCTGTTCAAAGGGAGTTTTTCCTCTCCACTGTCGCTACAAGCATGCTTAGTGTGAGGGATTGCTGAAGAGTCAATGAGTCAATGAGTCGATGCAATCAGCTGGTTTTCCTTAGATAGAAAACTTTGAATCAATCTGACTGGATGATCTGGTTGATTTATTTCTGTAAAGTGACCTGAGATGACGTGATGTGAATTGGCGCTATAGACATAAACTGAGTTGAATTGCATTGAATTGTGAATAAAATCTACACACAGTAAATGTTGCAGTGTTTAAGTAACACTTTGAGTGTTTAAGTACATTTAGTGACATACTAATTCAGAAGAAGAAAAAAATATATATATACATATATGTATATATATATTTTTTCTTCTTCTAGTTTTTTCAGTGATAAATTTGGAAATGGACGCCTTACATTTGACCAATTACAAGTTAACCGTTTCACTGTATTTTGAATGTTTTTATCTGTAAATCATCTATGCAAAGAAAAAGTGTTGACACAATAAAAACAATCAGCTGAGTTGTTTAAAGCGGCTTAATGTTGAATTTACTCACCCAGAAGATGAAGTTGAAGATAAAAAGAGCGTATTTGACGCAAACCTCCCCGGTGGACAGGGCGCCCATGTCTGCTCACCTGTCTGCGGATGTTAAACTGAGATCAATCCAGATGTTTCCTTCTGCTTCACCTTCCGCTTCTGTCGCTTCTAGTTCGGCTTCTTTTCGGCTTCTTCCGTCAGGACTCGGCGGCGGCCCCCACGAGACCACGTGACCGCGAGCTCAGCCTCCAACTTCTACAGAAACACAAGAGACGTTTCTGTCTGTCTTTCTGTTTGAGATCTTTGTCCTTTGTTTAAACAGAAATAAAAAAAGAACTACCAAGTAAATATACAAATAAATAGCAATGAACTTCTCCCCCTGTGCGGCCAGCATTAGTGAGTTTTAAACCAAATGCACGTGACGTCATCAGACAGATATTTTAGTAATTACTTCTCTGTTTTGGTAAAGTCATTTTTAGTTAAATATAAAAAGGACATTGATACCACTTGTACTTTCTGCAACTTTTACTCAGAATCTGTTTTGGTCCTGTGAACACACCAGGTGTTTTTGGCAAGATATCTGTCGCTTCATTCTGGACATTTATGATAAATTTTATTTTCAAGATGTTTTATTTGGAATCACAAAATATAAAAAAGAACTTTCTGAACATTTCTTCTTATGTAATCTTTTGTTACTGTTGGCCAAGTTTTATATCCACAAATGTAAAGCTATTGTGACTAAACCTTCCTGTATTTCTTTTCTAAAGGAAGCAACTACTTATTTTTCTACATTGTCCTCCTCCAATAATAAAAAAGCTGCTAAAACTATAACCTTATGCTCTAAATTTAAAGTATTTATATAATCCCTTTATATGTTTCTATTCACTATTACTTTTTTACTTTTATTTAATAACTTTTTATTTTATTTATTTATTTATTTTCTTTTGCTCAAACCCCTGGTGATTGTTCACTGTAAATTGTAATTTGTCTCTGTATTATAACATTTCTTCTAATAAAGTTTATAAAAAAAAAAAACTTCTCTGTTTTGGTCCTCCAATGATAGAAAAGCTGCTAAAGCTATAACTTTATGTTATAAATTTAAAGTATTTATATCATCCCTTTATATGCCTCTATTTACTATTACTTTTTTTTACTTTTAATTAATTACTTTTTATTTTATTAAATTTTTTGTTTTTGTTTGTTTGTTTTGCTCAAACCCCTGGTGATTGTTCACTGTAAATTGTAATTTCATTCATTTCTTCTAATAAAGTTTATAAAAAAAAAAAAAAAACGTCTCTGTTTTGGTCCTCCAATGATAGAAAAGCTGCTAAAACATTATGCTCTAAATTTAAAGTATTTATATAATCCCTTTATATGCTTCTATTTACTATTACTTTTTTTAACTTTTATTTAATTACTTTTTATTCTATTTATTTATTTATTTTTTTGTTTGTTTGTTTTGCTCAAACCCCTGGTGATTGTTCACTGTAAATTTTCTGTATTATAAAATTTTTTCTAATAAAGTTTATAAAAAAACTAAAAAACTTCTCTGTTTTGGTACCATAAGAGCAAGCTGTCTCTGAAACCACCCGCCTCATGCACTAAATTAGATATATATTTATAATAGCTAACCAAAGTTTGTTTTTTTAAAACAAATACCAGCTGAACTCAGCGTTTAAAAGTAGAAGTGTTAATTTTGGGATCCCTGTCATCGCAGCGAAGGTTTGTTTTTTTCTGGTTGGAGGACACATTTAGACATGAATTCATTTTAACTGCATTCTTCACACAAGAAACTTAACAGAGACAAACAAACGCTAAATATTGAGGATCTTTCTTTGGTGTCTTTTCTTTCTGAGTGATTCGGGACAAAGTGTGCTGAGTTTTCATTATTTTTATATACCAATATAAAAGCTATTCTTCCTGGACTTCATTATCCTTATAAGAATATAAATTAGCGCAAAAACATAAACAGTTCCTCACATCCAATAACAGCCTTACATCACGTCTAATAACTAAGAGCAAAGATCAAGAAAACAACATAAACATAAAAATAAAACGTGTTAGAATTATTTCCGTACTAACTAGGGATTTTTTTTTAGATCTAGTTTAAAAAAAAAGGTGGTTAGTTATCAGTCTAATTTCATACGGCAAATATTCCAATATGAATAAAAGTGTTTTTCGGTGCATTAGTTCTTGGCAAAGTAAATGTCAGATTAGAGGCTCTTCTTGTGTTAAACTCATGTCTTCTGCAGGTAGGCTGTAGTTCAGAAAACAGGCTAAATGGTTTGCATGAGATCAGAAAAACAGGCCAAACTTTCCTTGATTTTAGACTCAGACAATATTTATTGTCATTTTGTACACACAGAGTGTATATAAAGTGACATTTTGTTTTGTACAGCTCTCATGACATTTCCATTTCTTAAAGTGCAGCTATGATCAGATGTAAACATTGTGGGCAAAAAAAACATGGTGCAAAAAAACGTGTTGATATGGTCAGTGTGATGCATCAGTCTGATGGCGGTGGGGAAGAAGCTGCTGCAGAACCTGCTGGTCCTGCATTGAATGCTGGGAAGCTTCTTCCCAGAGGGCAGCAGGGAGAACAGTCCATGGTGGGAATTGATGCAATCTCCTGTCATGAAATAGTTTATTGCTCCTTTTTCTGCCTGAAATTGCCTGGAAGACTAATTTTTGTCTTTATGAGAAGAATTCAGGAAAAGTCTGCATGGCTGATGGATTCAATTGATTTTCTCTTCCTTTACAAGATCCATGCAAATATAAAAACAAAATGTTGATTTAGTTTTGCAACTAAATTGCTCATTGGAGCTGATGTGATTGACTACTTGCTTTAGGAAGATAGAAAAGAAAGATAAGAGAGGAAATGCGGATAATCGTGATAAATACAGTCATTACTATGTTTGACATACTGCAACTTGTTGCTATCCTTCAACCTTATTTTGTACAGGAAGCGCTTGTGTGTCCTTTGATCCATGACAGTCTTTGATGCATGGCATCAATATTAGTTCGGAAAGGACATCCCTGGAGTTAGATTTGCAGCACAACTGTGCAACATCTAAAGTTTGTCTTTTTTTTACAGCACTTGATCATTTAACAGGATAATCCAGAAAACAAAAAACCAAAGACGACAAGACAAGTTATTGTTGTTCCTATTGACATAAAACGGGTGTTGTGTGTAACCAATTAAATATTTGTACATATTTTAACCATCAAATTATTATTATCTATAACATCCCTCTATTCTATTCACCCATTCTTTTTTTTTTTTTTTAACAGTGGAGCTTCACTTACTTTTTAATACTTTATGGTTCAACCTGCTTTACACCACCCAACAATAATTAGGCCGTGTTGCAGTATGTTATTGACCTGATCCAGGCTAGGGGCAGAGATCTATAGGTATAGGTTGCACCCGGTTGTTTTTAGGATAGATTTTAACATTTTATGATTTGTTTTTAAAGCTCTTAATGGTCTAACCCCCCAGTATTTGACTGAGCTTCTCCAAATCCAAGCCCCGGCCAGAACACTGAGATCCCCTAATTAAATTAAATTTCAATTCAGTTTATTTCTATAGCGCAAAATTCACATCATGTCATCTCAAGGCACTTTCCAGTTCACCAGATCCTCCAGTCAGATTGATTCAAAGTTTTCTATCTAAGGAAAACCAGCTGATTGCATCGACTCATTGACTCTTCAGCAATCCCTCACACTAAGCATGCTTGTAGCGACAGTGGAGAGGAAAAACTCCCTTTGAACAGGAAGAAACCTCCAGCAGAACCAGGCTCAGTGTGAGCGGCCATCTGCTGAGGCCCACTGGGGTTCAAGGAGACTGAAGCAGACATAGAAAAAGAAGCATAGATACAAAAGGCAACTGTCAACCAGCTCCACAGGCGGCCCCGTCCAGGAAACACACAGCCAGGCAGACGAGCTCCAAGCCAGCTCCCATGTCAGAGGATGAAGAGAGCACATCCAGTTAGTCACAGTCAGAGAAACAGGACTACACTGGAAAACAGGCCAAGCTCCAGCATCTATAAACAACGGTTGCTACTGGTCATGCCTAAAACCAGACTTAAAACCAAAGTTGATCATGCTTTTATGGCAGCGGCACAGAGACTCTGGAATAACTTGCCTTGGCATATTCAGTCAGCAGGCTCCTTTAAGGTATTTAAATCCTCTCTAAAAGCACACTTTTTCTCCCTCGCTTTTAATTAAGTCTAAGTGGACATTTGGCAAAATTTCATTTTAAATTGTATTTATCTTAAAATGTATTTTAATTGAAACATTTATCCTATGATATTCTATCTCCATTCAATTTTGTATGTATTTTAGCCTTCCGTTTTTATCTTCTGTTCCTTAACTGTGATTCTTGCAAAGCACTTTCATCTGGTTTGGTCTGCCGCGGTTTCCGTAGACTCGTGAACGCGCTTTTAGGAAATCCTATACACTACTGTTTATGCTCTAAAAACATTCTAAATGACTTCGTTTCGAGTAAATTCTGGACGCTACCCACTCAGGACACTTGGAATACATTGGACGAGCAGTATGGAGGAATATTGACACGTTTTTTGTGGACTTTTATGGACCTTTCTGCCTCGGGCGCCATAGACCTCCATTATTTGAATGTCAGCAGACAGCAAGAAGCCTCCCGGATCTCCAGATGCATTTGAGATATCAAAAAAGTACTCCAGAGTGTTGTTCAGCATGGGGGTGAGTAGAAAATGAAGGCTAATCATGTTTTGGGTGTACTATTCCTTTAAGAACTTAAAGATCCAAAAAACATTTTAAGATTTTAATAACTACACCAAAACATAACATCTCACTTGTAGATGTTAAACCACATTATAAGGGAGAACAAAGGTCAACGCCAACTGAACCCTGTGTTTGTGCCATGAGGCTATATTCTCCCTGTCTGTGTGGGAAAATGAGACTGTTTTCTTCTCTTTCTGCAGAACAAAGGCTGCAGTGTCGGTGCTCAGCTCACCATTGTCGTTACAGCTGCATGCAAACACACAGAGACAGTAAAGATGGAGGAGGACAGGGCGCCTCAGCTGACCAGCACTGAAGAAGTGCTTCTGTGAAGGGAGCTAAAGATCCAGAAACACTTTGAAACAATCCAGTTAGGTTTTTTGGGGGAAAATAAACTTTTTGCTCAAGTTTTAAATCAC